AAGTACTTAACTAATTTAGGATGCCTAGGCATGCTTTAATGGTCAAGAGAAACAGCTTTTAGAGAAATCTGATGTATTTCCCCTATCAACTGCCTTTTCTCTTCTTCTTTTTTCCTAACAGAACTTAAGTATTCTGAACAAATATTTGAAATTAATTTTGAATGTTCTTTACCAGTTACTGAACTGTTTCTATTCACAGCAATTGTCGGTGGTTTACTGCCTCATATTGTGTGTCTGTCTTTGAATTTTATGAATCAAGTGGGAGTGTGTGGGGGTGTGTGTATGCATAGGTAAATAGAGTACAGCTGTTTTAAAGCGTGTCTCCTCACGTGCAAGTTTTAATTTTGCAGACGATATCAGAAATTGCAGAAGATAATGAAGCCCTGGTAAGAACCCGATTAGATCATCACCTCGCACACTTCCTCTTCGTTTGCATGACTGAGTTCAGGCCCTTGTGCTAATCTTTATATGTAAATACAACTGTGCTTATTCATTCAGCCAGTCTTCAACATTCTCTGTTTTCTGCTCTTTGATGCCTGTTAAAATTTTCTGGTGAAGCCTTTTTTGCTTTGCTTGTGGAATGGGTGCTTCGTTTCTCTAACTTCTGCCGGGGCTTCTGCTATTTCCTAAGGAAAGCTTTTGTTTTGTGTTGCAATTTGAGCAAACAAATCATTTTCCTGCCTTCCCCAATTCCCCTCTTCAATTTGTCTGGCTTACGTGATTGATAGTAGGCAACTTTAATTGTCGATGTTAGTGAGATGAAAGAGTCAGTGTGCCAGTTTAAGTTCCTCTTCTTTGCTGTTCTCAGGTAATGCCAGTTGTTGCAAACAAGTGCATAAAGGAAGACTAGAGTAATTATGGCCTTATAATCATAGAATCATAGCATGGTTTGGGTTGGAAGGGACCTCAAAGATCATCCAGTTCCAACCCCCCTGCCATGGGCCGGGACACCCTGCACTACACCAGGTTTCCCAAAGCCTCATCCAACCTGGCCTTGAACACTTCCAGGGATGGGGCAGCCAGAACTTCTCTGGGCAACCTGTTCCAGTGCCTCACCACCCTCTGAGTGAAAAATTTCTTCCTTGTATCTAATCTAAATCTGCCCTCTTTCAGTTAAAATCCATTGCCCCTTGTCCTATCACCACACACACTTGTCCAAAGTCCCTCTCCAGCTTTCCTGTAGCCCCTTCAGGTACTGGAAGGCTGCAATAAGATCACCCCGGAGATTCTGAGGAAAATGATTAGAATGGCAGGAGGCTTTCAGAATTTATCACCCCTGCCGAGGCAAGGTACCTCCTGTGCATTTAGATGGTGAGTTTTTCCTCACTGCTGTGAAAGTAGTTCTTTGTGGAAGACTAGTTATACTTCTTCAGCATCTCTCTGCTTCCAAATTCTGTTATCCTACAGGCTTCTCTACATTAAATTATTTGATTGCCCTCAAGACAGTGGTAAAATACTGACTTATAGTTGCATTGCATCCTAGTTTTAGGACCTGATTATACCGATGATCTGCATTAATTTTTTTTACAGCTTAGTTGTGTTTACTCATGGGAGCAAGGCATTACTCACTTTAGGAGGATTCCTATTGATCGATGTAGATACAGCATGTCAGTGGATACAGTAGTAAAGGAAACGTATATGAGTAAAGTTTATTCTAACTTTGGAATTTAAGTCCTGCCAGTAGAAGCTCCAATTTACATTGAAGCACACAGTTTAATATTTGTATTTCCATCAACAGGACACGAAATGATACAATTAAAATAACACAAATTACTGAGTTTGGGACATGTACTAAAAAAGATACAAGAGCCATTATTGGTCAGGATGTGAAACAATACTTCTGGAAGCTGACCTGTTCATACGTTTCAAAAGTAAAGTGTATACACTAGTCCTCTGTGAGTGTAGTTATCAAACATCCTGACTCTGTTTCAGCCATGTATTAATGGGAAAAGGTCCAGTGAAACAAGAACTATAAAAAAAAAACTTCAGAGCTTAATGTATTGAACTAAACTAAACTTTATGGCCTCTAGCCTGCTGTCTTCTTAACTAAAGAAACTTAAAGAAACCAAATGCTATTTTTTTTTTTTAAAGTTGATTTACAGGATGACATATTTCCTGAAGTGCCAGTATTTCATTTTATCTCTCTTAGCTTGCACATGCTAGTCTGACTTAATTAAAACCAAATTTTCATAGAGTCCTTGTTTAATAGCTTTGTCCACTGAAGGAAGTTCTTCTAAAATGTGAGTTTCTTTTTCTCTGTCTTTTCAGTTTTAAGGGTTCCCATTTTGTTGGGGGATTTTATTTATCCTATGTTAGCTGACAGTTGAATTAAAAAAGAAAAAATATTTCCTTGCAACGGCTCTATCAATTGACCTTTGCATCACAAGACTGAATTCTAGTCAAACCACACTGATTGGAGAGTGGTGTTTTTCCTGTGCAGTTAGATATTCCTGGTCTTTTAAGAAAAGCTGATCCATTTAAGTAAAATACCATGAAATGAGCAAAACCAGGAATTTAAAAGATGGGGAATAAGAGAAAAGGTAATTCTAATCACATCTTCATGAAGAACCAGTGTGTAATAGTTCCCCTGGGCTAGTTTCTCATGCAAACAAATGCTTAATGTACCTTAAAGTGGATTTAGTCATACTCCATAATAAGAGTATCTAAACCTGGGTTCATTCAAGAATAGTTACAGTTCTGTTGAAAATTGGCAGCTTATTTTCTTTAATCAGAGTTAATTTTCAAGCTTAAGGAAGCCCTGATAGCAGGGGTACGGAGCTATTTCAGGTTTTTGGAATGCAAGTTGTTTAAAATCGGTAAGCCTGATCCCTTGTAATGAACGCAGTGAAACTGTACCACAAAGAAATATTTCAGTGGTGCTTGGCACGATGTAAAAAAAAAATAAAAAAATTAAAAAAAAAATGCAATGTAGCAGTTATAAGGGCAGCTACCCTGGAGATTGTTCAGTCGTTTTTAGCTGTACTGAGTACCAAGTAGGTGTGAATTGCCCCTAGTTTGGTTTGATGGTGGCTTAGCTTCACCCTTGGAAAGGTTAGTTGGAGAAGCAATGAAGAGGAGCCATAGCAATAAAAAAAGGTACTTGTTCCCACCGTGCTTGCAAAGCATCCTGCTGCATCATCAGTCTTTGTTTTAGACTCGGTGAGGTTCTTGCCCCCATGGCTTTTCCAGAGCTCTTGTCCTCTGATGATTAGATATATTCTGCTCCCCTGTTTAAATTTATTCATGGCCATTTATCCTTGACAAGTCTAACTTACAAAGTGGTTCCTACTCTTTGATGTTGCCCTCCCTGATGTCAGGCCTTTCAGCTGCCCAGTATTAGGCTGTGAGCACAGTTGCTGAACGATGAGGGATTTGAAGTTAACTGCTACTCTTTAGTTGCCTGCTGCCCAGTTTAAAGTTGTTTCTTTGCTGCCTTTCCTTTGCACAATTAGAGATCTGACTAATTATCTCGATTTAAAGAATCATTTAAATATTTTTCCCTCCTTCATAGCAATAAAATGTTCATTTTGGTGTGCTTGTTAAACATGGAGTGAGATTTCCCCCCCCTCCTCCCCCCCCGAATTCATCTAGGAGTTTGCGTGCTCAAGTCCCATTAATTTATTTTGATAAGAAATCCAAATTGCTTTAGGCATCTTTCAAAATATCAGACATAGTTCTGTGGATACATCTGAGGATTACCTAGCATACATGATAAAAAGATGTTTTAGCATGTAGAAGTGATACCAGGAAGGTGAGAGACAGGTGTGGTAGTTAGGGTCACGTGCACATTCCTGTCATTTTTATTTTTAGGAAAGAAAAGCCAATATCAAAATGCATGGAGTTGTTTTTTTCTTCACAGTTTCTTAAGTTAAGAATGCAGAACTTTCTTAAGAATGTAAAGTAGCAGACTTTGACTTTGTGTTTCTTTAAAACCTAGAAATGTGAAGGACAACTGTTGACTTACTCTTCAGTTAAGTTTGTTGGAGGGGTTGAGGTGTGCAGGCTGTGGATCGGAGCACGGTCACCCACCCACACTGGCTGGAACAGCCCATAATGTTACAGGCCACAGCGTTCTGCTGCTTAAGAGGCTTTTGCTGAGAGCTGCTGTGGGTGAGGAGGTGCATCAGGACCAGCTCGCCCATCCTCACCAACAGTGGTTAGAAGAGGGGAGTCAGACGGCGGAGAATGGGGAAACTTCAGCTGTCCCAGCGTCAGGTGTCCCCACGGAAAAGCTGGAGCCCTGCATGGCATTCAAGAGGGGTTGTGGAAGTAGCATGCCTGAGAGCATAGATCATTCAAATGTCAGTGTTGGTGAGTTGTGAAATTGAAATTACGCAGCTCATTCAAATGTCAGTGTTGGTGAGTTGTGAAGTTGCAATTACGCAGTGCATCTTTCTGATCATTTTTCCCCTCTGGATGCGATGACACACATGAAAAAGCATCTTCATTGGGAATTACTGTCAAACTATTAAGTCATTTTGCCAGAGCACCAAGGGCTTGATGTTTACAGGACTGCCGTGCCTTGTGCTGTGGATTAGTCTAAAATAGATTTTTATGAAGAAAGAGACCCCATCATTTTTAGGACTTTGTATGACTAAACCACTTATTCACTGAGACTTCGAGTTAAACAGCTCCTAGCACGTATTTTCTAAGACTCCTACTTCTATGAACAAGCTTTGATTCCCTTGGAATTTCTAGCATCTATTCTGTCTGTCGCTCTTAATGGTATGAGTGCGTCTGTGTGCGTGTGTCTTGAAATGAATTGCTTGGAAGTCTATTCCTACCTGCTTGGAAGTCTATTCCTACCTATTTGCTTGTGTTTAAACACATAACAATGCATCGACACCACTCCCTTCCCTCTCCAGATACTTTAATCCTTATCTTGCTCTAGTTACCCTGGAGATTACTTTCATCTCTAGCTGTGCTATTCCCAATGCTTATCCTTTAAGCCTGGCTTTTGGCTTTTGCAATGCCACGTAGTGTATACCTGTGTGTGCAGGTGCATATGTATAGCTATATATTTAAAAAAATACATGCTATGTATGTGTGGTGCTGCATAATATATAGAGTTGGAGTATTTCTTGCTGCTTGATTAGTCCCAGTGTTGCACCTCTTCACTGTCATTAATTATTTGAAGCAGTGTCCCAGGAGTGACACCTGGTGGGGTGTCTGGTCATTTTAAGTTGAAAAACACTTTCTGAGTTCCAAACGGTTCTATCATTGTCACATCTACTGAAACCAGGTTTATATGTTAATACGAGTGTTTTCAGCTTCGTTAACCCCGTTTCCCCTCCAAAGCTGGGGAGGAGGCTGGATTAAGTGGCAGGATTAATCAGTAGTTTTGGCAAGAGGAATAAATGAGACTGTTGAATATAAAGGAATTAAATGAACCTGAATTCCAGCCACTCTTGTTCTGAAGGCGAATATCCATATGCAGGTTTAATACAGTTTAATTAATCCCTCTAAACTATACCTGTTGTTAGTGGGGATTAGCTTTCATGTACAATTAGTTTATAGAAAAGTATTAATGTAAATACATGTTCATTTGCTGAATTTTTAAACAATACGTGAGAAAATCTAAGGGAGATAAAAGTATCTCTCTTAGCATTAAACTTAGCAGAAAATTTATCTACTTTCCAACATATTTGGTCTATCTTTTTATACATTTTTTTCATTTGGACTTGAATTTATTTAGCCTATCTTCTTAAAATACCAGAATTCCATGTATTTGTGGAGATATTCTGTTATGAAGCTACATGAGAATTTGGTACAAGTTTTTAGAAGGAAGCCTTCTTTAAGGTTGCTGTTTTATTTGTGGATTCATAAATAACCATTTTATGCAAAAAGAATGGACTGGGGAAAATGACAGGACTGGAGCTGATTAAATTTCCTGCAAAGTCTTAATGTCATCTTGTTATGAAATCCGTGGCTATTGGAATGCTAATGATGATATTTGAAATCTAATTTAATTCTTAAAAGGTTTGCAACATTAAAAAACAAGCAAACAAAACCAACCTCTTTACCTCCAAAACAGAAACGAAAACTTCGAAATTACGTATTTACTGAACAAAATATTCCTTGCAGAATTACGGTGAATTTTTTTTAAACCACTGTATTTTTCTCGTTTGCTCTTTGGTGTAGTTTTTTCATTTTGTCATAAATTAATCAAAGCCACTGTGGATACCCCTACTTACTGTGGAAGAGAAAGGCGTGTTTCTGGTTTTTTTTTGGTTTTACTCAGAAAATGTCAAGAATGGCAAATTGCTTTTTAGCAGAGAGCATCCGTGGAGTGTTGATGAACAAGAGCTCCGGTCTTAAAAGAAGGAGCCGCTAAAGGCTGCATCTCGCCATCAGAAATCCCTAAATGGCAGATTAGCTCAAATCCAGTAAACTGGCTGTTGGATTTGCCACATGGAAACCGATTTTCTGCCTTATTCCTCCGTACTGCGGTACACGTCTTCCGTCCGAACGGAGGGTCACTGATTTGTGCCGCGCCAGGTTGGCGAGCAAATCGCACAGTAAGAACTATCAACTACGTTCCTCTGCAGCCATAGCTTTAGACTCAGATTTCCAACCTACTGAGCTTCGTAGTTCTGACCTGACAGAGGATTTTTTAATTTTATTTTTCTATGAGGTCAGCTGTTGCGTTGAAATCAGTGGGACTATCCATGCTTTTTAGATGGATGGATGGATTGTGTGCTTATGCGTGTTACCGGCTTAGCAGCAGAGTACCTCCCAGGCAGTTTGACATGCCCTTGAAGGTAACACTTCATCTCAGGCTCTGTGCACTGCTGCTTGAGTTGAGTAGTCACCTCGTTGAAGGGCTTCCGTGAAATCATTAACGGCTGCTGACTGTTCGGTGCCCTCACTATGTATAGAAATGAAGCTGATCTTTAAAAGCTGGTTTTTAACATGGAAAAATCCCCACCATATTCTTTATGTTGAGTTCAAACCTGTTTCAAGTTTAGCTGAGTTCACACAAAGATGCATTGGGTCTCAAATCTACAGGTGTGACAAGAAGCGTAGCGGTCTGCAAACCCGAAACAATTTGAGCTGCGGGCTTGGATAAACGATGGGAACTTCTGCAATTCCCTTGACGTGGTTGCCCATAGATAAACAGAAAGACGTGCATCTTCAGGTTCAAAGAAAGAAATTGAGGCATTAACTGTTGGAAAATTGCTGCTCAATATATGATCTCTTCTGGTGCATTTTAAAAACATATTTGCTGCCTTGTAAGAGAAGGAACAAACAATCCGCTAACTTTCTGCCCATCTGCTTGAGGCAGAGGTACCAAAATGCATCACCTCTGTATGACCTTCAATTAGGAGCATTTCCATAAGCTGCTAAGAAAAAGCTCACTTCTTTTCTTCTGTTAGATATCAAACTCTGAATTTAAAAGGGAAGTTTAATTTGCACTCATTTCCTTGAGCATTGCATGTGGTGTTCCCCTGGGGATTAGTTCTTCTCTTACAAAATTGCCTTCTTCCAGGTGGCTGTTCTTGATATCCATGCTAAATTACTACCTGTTGCACGGCCTCTCTTGCTCTTCTGCTACCTCTTAGTCCATAATTGGCTTCATTTTCCTGCTTTCTGAAAACTTGCTGCTGCTTTATTCCCTCAGTCATTGCCCTGCTGCGTTACTGGTACATGTTGTCATGACTCCTGTCTCTTGCAGCTTTGGAGATATGTTGTCCTTTACACTGACTGCATTTGTTGAGCTGATGGATCATGGGATTGTATCGTGGGATACATTCTCTGTGGCATTCATTAAAAAGGTAAATTTGTAATCAATGCTACATGTTTTATATCAGTTTGCCTCTACGTTTTAAAATTTTTGAGGTGAGTTGTGGGTGTTTTTTTTTCCAGCGACATTATTTAGGTCATTGGTCAAAAAGGTGCATGAAAATGGGATTAAAGTGCTGTTCCAGACTAAAAGTATTTGTACTTGCAGGATCTGGCCCGACTTCCTCTGAATTGAATGGAAGTGAAACAGGATCAATGCTGGATGAGGCTTATAACACAAAAAATTGTTTGCTCAGTTACAGTGTGACCTCCTTGTGCAGATACGGTGCATTTAAAGCAAACATTAGTATTTTGGTTTAATGAAAATTAAAGTGAAGAATACCATATTTCTTCAAACAAAACTAGCACTGAAGTGTTTCCTCTAGGGGTAAGGGAGGAAGAAAAATAAGTTAGTTTACAAATTGAAATGGCGCTGATATCTCCTGAGTTTATCAGGTTGAACTCTGGCCCTCTGAATCTTGCAGCTGATGTCTGCTGTTTTGAAACAGATCTTTCTGCAATTTGCAACATTTTTTCTTCTTTTCTCTACGTGTAGGAGATGCACAAAAGCAGCAGAAACAAGGGAGTACAGAGATTTAACAGACTTCAGAAAAAAGTTTTTGTTACTGGTTTAACTCTTTTCATTTACTATGGGGAAAAAAAACCCCACGTGTCTTTACAAAGAATTTTTACACTAGATTGAACTCGGAGCTTACGTTAAAGTGCATTTGTACAAGTTTGAAAGATGTCAGAGTTACTTCACTAAAATGATAGCAGGAGCAGTAATGGAACCAGTAAAACCTGTGGCAAAGAGCTCTTTAACAGAATGTGTCAGAGCACAGACTTTTAATTTAAATTTGGTTTAGAGCATTGTTGCCACAAAAGGAAAGTGAAAATTTACTTTTGTTGCCAAAAGTGAAAGAAGAAACAATTATGAGAAGAGTATTAGATTTTTGAAGCTCGGTTTTGGTAATTAAAAATTATGGATAGAATTTGTAAGAAAAAATAGTATAATTGATCTGGACTCTTTTGTTTGCTAATCTTGCAGACTAGGTAGGTGATGATGATGATCTTTCCATGACACAGAATATAGTGCACCTGTTTTTTAACTGACTTCATGAGGTACAAGGTCAAGGCCAGAACGCCTTATTTGCTCAGGGAGCCTACTAAGAAGTGTATGAAGAAACTTGCTAACACGAGTTTAAATCAATCTACTTTGTTAGTCACTCAGAATTATTATCTTTGTCTAACTCTATCAACATCTTTTGCCTTGTGGGTTGTGTAGTAACTACAGAAGGAAGGTTGTGTGCACCCGTTAATGGCTCATCTCTTCTGTCTGGCACTTCCGAATGTTTCCCTGGACAGTGACCCAATCTAAAAAACAAAACAAAAGACACAAACAAAAGCATTCTCACGGAAGTACCTCTGAAAACCAAAACTGGGGAGTGAAAACCAAAAGTGAAACTGGTGGACAAGAAAGGGACCAAGGAGGAGAATAGTGCAATTAGAAGAGAGACAGAAGGACAAAGAATGGCCAACATGAAAGTGGCACAGATGTGTCCTGACTTGCCATGCGGTTGGGAGCCAGGCAGCAGAGCCCTTGGTGGGGCTCAGTGGGCAAGAGGCAGACCTAAAGGAGCACCTTTGGACTGTGCCTCTCTGTCTGCAGTCTGCAGCTTTGTTCTCGCTTGCTTCTCTGACCTTGGCTTTTGACAGGCCACTTGAGATTGCTTACGGGCTATCTCAGGTGGCTGCCAGGATGACTAAGGGAGCTGATAAGTTTCTGCTAGCTGAGGGGAATTTTGCAATCCTACTTTAAGTACTTCTGCCCTTTGAAGCTGTCTTTCATGTTAAATGGAAGCCAAACTGGAATTAATCTGAACCTTTTTCTTGAACACTTTTCTAACTTAAAATGTAGAAGCTGGAGGAGACCTCAAGGGGAACCTCTAATTGCTTCTGATGACTAACTGCTTGGTGTTGGATGCAGTCTCCCTTCCATCCTTTGGGTACATAAAGACTGCAATTCCAACTGCTGCAAACAAGAATTGACACTTTCAAGGAGGGCTTTGTTCCTTATCTTAAGTGAAAATAGCATCGTATGAAAAAAACTTCCTTATGATAGCAAGATTCTCTCGACCTTTTTCTTGCTTAGGACAATGAAATTTATTTCCAGCTTCCATAGTTGCCTAAAGGACTTGGATGCCCAGTTCTCAGAAAATGTCATGGTAATTGGATATCAAAATACACTATACAAATTTGGCACTCCCATCTTTAGTTCCTACAAGAGGAGAAATAAAGTTTGTAGTATTGGTCGAGATAGTTATAAATAATTGTAAGAGATATTTTTATAATTGCTGTTTCATAACTGTGTAATGCAGAGTCTTAACCTTGATGAGTTGTTTACTCTGCCTTCTAAAATGTACTGTGCAGGAAAAGGAGGTGGCAACACGGAAAGTATCTGTGTCTTAACAACTGTCAGTTGTTTTTTCTGTAGTAGAGTGCAACTCTAGTTCCTTACTTAAAAATGAGATGCACACTTGAAAATTTTACTATGCATTAGGACTTAACAGAGAGCAAAACTTTGTCAGATTTTTCTGTACGTTTCTGACATCAAAATGGTCCAGCAAATAACTAGTGAACATACCACTGCTCAGAAAATCAGATCTGTTTCCTTCACTGTTTTTTACCTGTGTGGTTTTTGTTGGTGGCGTGTTTTTTTTTTTTTTATTATTTGTTTGTTTTTTTTAATTTTTGGGTTTTAACTTTTGAATTCTCTCCTGTGTTTTAAGTGATGCTGAAACAAGAAGAGAACTCAGATGATTTTATTTAGTTTGCTATAAGTTTCTTATCTACCCTCGCTTTACATCTTTAGCTCCTGTTTCAGCAGAGCACTGGGGCTGAACTTCTAAAGGCATTGGGATTCCTAATTTCCCTTGAAATCGTTTGGAAGTTAAGCACCCAGCCACTTCTTTTGTATGTGGCTATGTATGTCCTGATAGGACTATGCAGATGTTAAGGTTACAGGTATTTTGTTGAACAAATAGTTTTATCCTTAATGAGACACTCCCATGTGACAGATTTTCACGTGGAAGTGCAAAGCAATGAAGTTGCTTATTTCTGGAGGGGAGGTTGTATTTCTGTGAGCTTGCGTTATTTTTATCATCAGAATTTTTGATAACTGAGCGCAGGATTATTTTTGGATGTCGAAATCTCTCCCTGCACGTGGTGCTCAATAAGCAGAGAACAGCAGATAACACAAATTTGAACTCTTGTTGATTCTTGTCTCTTTTCAAGAAGCGTCTTTTTTTTTTTCTACATCTGGAGCTTAAAAGTTTGGTAATAGAATTTCTTTTTAATCTAATTTTGCGCTCTCTGGACCTGACATGCCTTATTTATCAGGGTAGACAAGCCTATTATTTCTGGCCAGATTTCATGCTTCAGCAAGGTGGTTATGAACATACAGAGCTTGACATGCAAGTTACCTAGCAGATGTTTTGCATGGAAGTTCAGTGTGACATGTCCTAGCTTTTCAAACACACAAACCAGCTTTATACCTTGGGTATGTGTTTATGATTAAAAGATATTATGGTCCATGGTCAGAAGAATGAACCTGTCTAAGGCAGCGTTTCGTAGACTGAGGTTTCATTTGTCTACACTGCTATATTTCTGCAGGCCCCTGGTATGGATATGTTGTGTCCCAGGGAAGCATTTACACTGCCACCTGGAATATCATGGGAAGGAGCTGCTGCACCAAGAATAACTCATACATGTCACTGTCAGGGCTTCTAAAGAGGATAGTGACAGCAGTGTGACAAGTTGGGACACAGTCTGGACATTCCTGCTGCACAACTGATCCATGGATGCCTGATGACTGTGATGCATCCAGAGCACATTTGGTGGTTTATTGTGTGAGAAGTGCAGTTGCTCTGTGCCTGCACTGTCCGTATTGTGGGCCTTCTGGATGTCTGGCAGCTCTGGCTGTCACGCATCAGGACACAACTGGATTATCGTTAAGAGAGGCAGGGTAGTACAGCGCTTCTAAGATACAGCTTGTTACTCTGAACAGCACAATGTGCATCATATCCTAATGTAAATATTACTTGGTCTCAGGACTTGCAGCAGATATTGAAAGCCTAGAGCAGAAAAAGGCTAATTGAGTTGCTTCTCTCCTCCTATTCTCTATGCATGCATGGGTTGGTTCTTTATTTTCTTTAAAATCACTGTGTGTTTCCTGAATTGAGTTGTATTCAGCGTAGCATGTTTTTATTGTGGAAACATGAACCAAATAGCAGAGGAGCAAACAGCAGCACTGCAACAGATGAGAAAAGGAAAAATCTGTCCCTCTTTCCTTGTCGTCTCCAACCAGAGTTGCAGAAAGGGTGTTTTGCTCCTTCAGCACTACTAAGAACGTCACAAGTGCAAAAAACAGTGTAGTTGTCCACGTGTCAGTATTTAGCAGTGAATTTTACAGGCAGCCAGGCAGCTTTTCCAAGCGTGGGGCATGCCTTTATTCCTTCAAAAGGAAAACGATGCTAAGGTCTAAGTAAGCATCCAGAATCAGAAAAAGTACAAACACGAGTGGCTCGTAGCATGAATGCTGAAGAAGCGCGTGGACTTGAAGTTTTTTGGAAGGAACGCATCAGACTTGAGACAGGGCCAGTGTAGTCTGCTACTTGGCTGTAAAGAGCAAATAACTGTGGTCACACGACATTCCTTCTGTCTGTCTGTGTTTCCTCGGGTGCTTTTCAGCTTGATTATGCTGATATCGGTGCATTCAAGGAAAACCCAGGCAGTTCTCGCTCCCTGTGTCAGCAGAAGGCCAGCTCCTTCCCGGGAAGCCAGGTCCAAGGACTGGGCAGCATGTAGAAGAAAGCACATTGGCACATCTGGCGCATCTTCCTGCACAGCTGTGTTGGCTCTGCAGATGAGCGTGCGGCACGTCATTGCCACGCTGCAAAAGAAGTGTTGGCCAGACCTGGTTTTGATTAACGTGCCGTTTGTCTGGGGCGGCTCGCAGTAAAAGTGGAGGTTATTAATGCACGGATGCTTAGCAAGACTGGACTCTAGACAGTTATGGAACCAGTTGTGCTGATAAATGGTCATCAACAGTTTTAATCTGTAATCTGGAGAGAGCTTTCAGTGTTGTTGTTAACAGTGAGGTGGGGGGGAAGTGTATTTTCCTAGAGTGTTTTGCCAGAGAGCTAGATGGGAATTTGTCTTTACAACAATTGCCTTGAGCCCAGGTATTTGTTTAGAGAAAACCAGCTGCGCAGGTTTCTGCTGCAGAGAATGTGAAGTATTCCCCCTTGTCCTTTCCAAAGTTTTCCTCACAAAAAATACAACTGTTCTAGTTCTTTAATGTTGATTTATTGTGTTCATAACGTAATGCTGAAGTGTATGTTTCAGTGGTGTGAATCTCGACGTAAATCTGTGGCGATGATTTGTGCCAGCTGAAGAACCCGTGCTGCTGTGTCCTTTGAAGGTATCTGCAGCACCTGGTTGATTGCTTGCAGGTATTCACTGGTACCTGGCATATGGACAAGACTAGTTTTATTCAACTGCCTTTCAGAGCCACGTCCATGTTTTTCTTTCTTCCCTTCCTCTGCCTTCATGATAAGATGTAAATTCTCGGAATGTTTGAATTTGTAGATAGCAAGCTATGTGAACAAATTTGCCTCGGACATCTCTATCTTGCAACGGTCGCTAGCAATCCTGGAATCGATGGTGCTCAATAGCCATGACCTGTACCAGAAAGTGGCACAGGAGATCACAATTGGGCAGCTAATCCCACATCTGCAGGGGTGAGTGTCTTCAACTGCCACCTGATAATGGTGGATTTTTTTTTCCCCAGATGAGCACAGCATTTGGAAAAGGAGTGGTATAAAGACTGGTAACCTCCTGCGTGACTCCTGCATCCACTGTAAGCTGCTGGATGACTAGTAACCAGCTTTCTGGAGTTGCCTGATCATTGTTTTTTTTTGTTTGTTTGTTTGGATTCTTTTTTTTGTGCTAAGATGCTTGAGTAGTTGGAGGTGGGAAATGAAGAGAGGAGCACCCAGTAGTAATAAAATGCTGAATGCCATTAGCATACAGAAGGGGTTGTCTTGCTTGCCAGCCCCTGGGAGGTGTGTAAGACAAAAATTGGTCAACTTTTGCTGAAGGTATATCGGAAAAGGGGGAGACTTTTTCTTAAACAGTAATGTGTGGTGGTTACATGGATGGAAACTGCCTCTTGTAGCATAGTGTAATGTATTGTGTGTAGCGGTGTATCGTTATGCTTGCCTCCCAGCTGGGACTTTTTCCGCTCACCTGGAAAGCTTTTAACACCAGCAGGTTGATCTCCAGAACCCTTTAGGGAAGATTTATCTTCCTACCTCTAGCCTACAGGCATCTGGCAGAAGCTGATTTGTCTGGGCTCCTTCTATGATCAGTGGAGGGTCAATGGCATTTCAAGAGTGGGATTCATTCCACCTTTCTTGAATGCTGATTCTCCCTCTGGAACATCTTGTCTGTCTTAATAATAGAGACAACCTGGTCATGACCAGCTTTGATTACCTGATTTTCACCTGGTTAACATTAAGTGCAAACAGTCCCTCCGCTTCTACCTGCAGTAATGCAACTGGAAGATCAGTTTCTACAGCTCGTATGTGTTCATGTTCTTCTCTCATGTTTATAATTTTGTTCCAAACAGGACGGACCAAGAAATCCAGACATATACCATTGCAGTAATAAATGCACTTTTCCTCAAAGCACCGGATGACAAGAGGCAGGTCAGTTGTTGGGTCTTGTATACCTACATACCTGTAGGAAAAGTGTGTCATAGTCATGCCTACGGACGGTTGTCCCAGTCGTACTTTTCCTGCAGTGAATTCAAACTGAAACTTGTTCTGTTGTTTCATGCTGGTATGCCATTCATTTTAATGGAGCTACCTTCATCTTGCACCAATATTAGGAGGGATTAAGCATTCTTCTGTGCTTTTGTAGTTCCCTGTAACCTCGCATGAACCATATTGACTGTGGCTGGCTCTAGTATTTATTGTACTGAACTCTTTGCCAGCACAGCTTGTAAAACCGTGCTATTTTTTTGTGAATTGTTTCCCCCCCCGATTTTTTAATAAAAAGTGTGTTCCTTTTGAAAACAGAAATATCTTGCCATGTAAGCATTTCATGACTTTCATAGCGTACTATTTTAAGTTAGCTTTAGTGCCAGAGGTCAGAAGTCTCAAAAGGAAATATTTCAAGCTTGCTAGTTGCTGTTAAATGAGGATGGAATTCAATGTGTTAAGAAATAGAGAAGTTTTATTCATGTCAGTGAAATAATTAGCCTGTGTCAAAACAGATTTATTCATTTATTTATGTAATATTTCCATCACCAAGAACAGTGATGGTAATTCTTGTGGTGACATACCGTCAGTGTCCAGAACAAGTTCAGTGAGAGCTGCTGATCAGTTCTGACAAGGACTTTCCTAAGACTTATTTACGTTATTAAATACTGAAGGTTGTTTAAACGAACATCAGAACCCTAATGGGTAATTTTTCTTTTTTGCTTCAAAAATATTTTTCAAATCGTAAACAGAGGAAAGTATAACCATGGTTTAATTAAAAAAAAAAAAAATCCTGTTTTTCCTATTCCTTTTTTCCTTCTTCTCCAGTACAGTCTTCAGTTATTAAGGGATGAAGGCACCTAATGAACAAAAATTGGAATAAAAACTTTCTTTCAATTTTGGCGTAAATCTATGATAGGTCCTTGTAAGAAAAAGAAAGCTTATACTTTTAAATTTGTAAATAGTTGCTTTGGCTTATGTTTCTGTGAAAAGTATGCTTTGAATAAAAACTTTCTTTCAATTTTGGCGTAAATCCATGATAGGTCCTTGTAAGGAAAAGAAAGCTTTTGCTTTTTAAATTTGTAAATAGTTGCTTAGGCTTATGTTTCTGTGAAAAGTATGCTGTGGATATTTGAAGTTGAGAGACAATGTCAGATGTAGATAAGACTTAATATGAAATCAGTAGGCGTGTGTTCCTGAAGATGACAGTACCACAGGGTATTTCCAGCACGTGAAACTGTATTTCACCAGCCGTGTAACCATCTAGTGAGGCTGGCAGTAGACCATGCAGACTTCACTTCACCTGTAGTACCTGCTGCTGTGACACAAAACTGTTCCTCATGGAGTTTATGATCATTAGAATATAATCATCGGATTTGACGTGAAGGCTGATAGCTCTGACGCTTGCAGAAAATTTCCTTCAGCCTTCAATAAGCTGTAATAAGTAGTCAATCTGGGAAGTTTCTCCTTATATCTATCTTGTGGTTAATTAGTAAACCACAGACTGGAGAAGGTAGGTGTCCATTAGCTTCAAGATAGGGGTAACTGGTACCGTTTACGGAATTCTGTCTTTCTAAGACAACGAACTGAGGCGATGCAGTCTCATGGAATTATCTGATGGTGGATACTCAAAAGTTAAGGTTCAGCCCTCACTGCTAATACATGAAAGAGTGAGAAACTGCCCCAAACCCAGTCTGACTTTGGGAGCCTTGGCACCCTATCGTGAGAAACTGCCCCAAACCCAGTCTGACTTTGGGAGCCTTGGCACCCTATCGTGAGAAACTGCCCCAAACCCAGTCTGACTTTGGGAGCCTTGGCACCCTATCTGCTGCTGTCTTACGGGGACTGGCATGGTGTGGTTGACTGCACTGCAATTAAATAAAGGATTTAAATTGCTGCTGTATCTGAATTCCTTCTCCTCCTTTTTTTTTTTTTCCTTCCTATTTCTGTAATGAAAAAAGACAAGAGGTTCAAGGTTTTTCTTTTTTAATGAGGACTCCCTGGTTGCTTTGCTTCCTCTGCCACTGTCAATCGTCTAGAGAAACCTAGGTTACTTTTTTTTTTTTTAAAAAAAAGCCTTTTATCAGAAAACAGCTGAGAGTTTGATCATTGGAATGATACTGTGAGTGTTTGAAACACTTTTTGTGGCAATTGTCTGCATTTTTGCAGGGACATGTTGCTATGGGAAAGGAGATGGCAAATTTTGTCAAGTAATTCCTGTTCTTATCTGTTAGTACAATACTTATTTTAGAAGAGGCAGCTCATCATCTGCTAATAGCCATAAAGCCTTCTTGGAGACAAGGTTGATTTTGTTGCAGTAAGTGGTTCTGTGAATGCTTGTTGCTCCTATCAGTTTTTGGACCAGTAACAAAAAACAATATCCCAGTACGGCTTTTTAAATTACAGGTATAAGAAAGAAGTGACACTTTGGTAATACTCTCCAAAACCAAAAGAAAAGAATTCCCCCCTTTTTTTTTTTGCCTTGAATGCAGAGAAGACTACCTGCTGTTCTTTACCTGTTCATCTTTTGGCAACAGATATGCTTTGACAAAACCAGCCAGTCTGTTCCCTCTAACATGAAGTATATCATGTGCCTGGTGCTCCCTCTGCAGCTCAGTTGAGCATTTCCAGAAGAGATGGAAGCATCTGTATCATTCATTCCTTTGCTGTTACATGCAGTTGAAACCTGCTCAGCCAGAAAAGGCTTAAAAACTAAAGCTGAGTTTCTCTTATCTTTAGTCCCTTCTCCCTTCCCTGTCATTCCTGTGTTCTGTCGCTGCACCCTTTATCTGCTATGAAGAAAACAATCAACATCCGTGACTGCCTCCTGTCTTGCAATTAGAATTATTTTATATTTGCAAGCAAATTCTCACCTTAACGCTTGCTTTATTTACGTTGTTTCTGCAGCCATGTTTCAGCAATCCAATTCTTTGTATGTTTTATGTAATAGTCTCAGTTTTCCTGTTTTCTACTTTCTTGCTTGTTATATAAAAGTAACCCATATGTACTCTAT